TTGATGGCTTTCTATTGTAGGTTTTTATTTTGAGGTGTTTTTTTTTTGGATAGAGTCTCACTTTGTCACCAAGTGCCATGGCGTCACAGCTCACAGCAACCTCCAGCTGTTGGACTTAGATGAGTCTCTTGCCTCAGCCTCCTGAATAGCTGGGACTACAGGCACCTGCCACAACGTTGCAGTTTGGCCAGGGCCAGATTTGAACCTGCCACCCTCGATATATGGGGTGGGTGCCCTACTCACTGAGCCATAGGCGCCGCCCTATTTTGAGTTTTTTATGTGATTTGAAGTTAATACACCATATTTAAAATTAGGAAAAAAGTTATCTTTTTAATTTTATCTGAGAGGGTTCATCCTTAAGTCTGAAAGTAAAGTACATATACATTTTCAATTTTTTTTTTTTTTTTGTTAACAGTGTTACTCTGTCACCTTGGGCAGAGTGCTGTGATGGCCATCATAGCTCATAGCAACCTCAAACTCTTGGGCTTGAGCAGTCCTCCTGCCTCAGCCTCCTGAGTAGCTGGGACTACAGGTGTATGCAATGACACACAAATAGTTTTTCTATTTTAAGTAGAGATGGGGGTCTCACTCTTGCTCGGGCTGGTCCAAACAGTCCACTAGCTTGCTTGACCTCCCAGAGTACTAGGATGACAGGTGTGAGTCACCTTGCTCAGCCACATTATCAGTTATTAAGTAACATTTGTTCTGTTGATTAGCTGGAAACAGGTAGTTTTTTCAAATCTGGTTTTGAGAAGTCCCAGATTGGATGCTGTCAGATTTCAAAGTTAAGATACAAGACAGGGGAATATTGAGGGGTATAAAGGCCCTGGTCTGTATGAGGTGGCAAGCTATAAAGGTTCTTGAGTTTTGCAGATTCTGATGTAGTAATAGGAAAGGGGGCATTTAGGCACGTTACACAACCCCTCCTCACCCCCCCCCCCCCCGGGTTATTCTCTCAATACTCCTTACAGAACCTCTGGGTCAGGGTCAGGCTCTGGGCCCAATCTGGCCTGTTGCCTGTTTTTGCAAGTAAAATTTTACTGATTTGCATAGTAGCTATGCTTTTAGTTGGGTAGGCCATCTGGTGTGAAAAGCTTGAAATATTTACTATCTGGCCCTTAACAGAAAAAAAATTGACCCCTAATCTAGTTGGCAGGCTTCATGGGATATAAGTCCTATGTTTGCTTTGTAATTTTTTTTTTCAGTACCTAGGACTGTTTTTAGTAGATGCTTAATAAATGTCAAGTAGTTATTTGAAACATAGACCCACTAAGAGGCAGTGTGATACAGTAGGAGGAAAATGCTGAGCTGTTGAGGGGTGAGTCGCTACCTCCTATGACTGTCATTTGTCCTGCTCAACTTTGGTTAGTCATTTAAATTCTCTAGCCTTCATGAACCTAGTCTGTAGAAAGTGAAGATTGGTAACAGGACCCACCCTAAAGATGTGTTCTTTTCTATTTGATTCTCTATGTTAGCTTACAGTTAGCTCATTGGGTCAGTGTGATAATTGGATCTCAGCAATTTATGTTTGTTTGTAAGGCAGTAAGCAGATGATAGGAATAGCTAGAGGAAAAAATAGTCTTCATTGTCTTTATGATCTCAGCTAATGGTACTTGATAATTTTATGATATTTGCATAAAAATTGATCCTCCCCAGCATTTTTTTCCTAACACCTTTGGCTGTTTATGTATTTAGTTTACATAGTCTAACCATTACACTTACTAAAAACGTTATAACCTTTTTTTTTTTTTTTTTTTTTTTTGAGTCTGACCTTATGGAATTGTTAAACATAGTGTCTGCTACATTTATTAAACATGTTTGTGGACATGTTTGCTGCAAGGCTTATAGTTCTGGAATAACTTGGGTGTCATAACAGCAGCTCTTTTTTTTTTTCTTTACAGGTTAGACCAAAACCATTGCTTTTGAAGTTGTTAAAGTCTGTTGGTGCACAAAAAGACACTTACACAATGAAAGAGGTAAGCTGAACCAAGAGAAAGAAATAAACTATTGTCTTTTCTTTTTTTTTTTTTTTTTT